AAAGGGAGTAAAGAAAGGCAGGGACCAACTCTAGGTGTCTGTTTTACAGAGGCGTCTGTCTTATAGAGGTGTCCGTTAAGAGAGAGTTGACTGTATATCACCTCAGTACTGTAATATAAGGAAAAGTTAATCTTAGTGTTTCATACCTGTAACAGATCATAGATGTCAGAGGTTAGATGGTACTGGCTTCTGATGAACAGCATTACTTCTTCTAGTTTAGCATCAGGAGAAAAAGTCTCTCTTCTAAGAAGTCCAGTGGGACCTCTGATCTGAAACAGTTTTTGTAAGAAACATATTTAACTCCATCAGAAGAAGTGATGTTATTTGCCTTTCTTGATAGGTTTTATTTGGAAAGCACTGCTTAATCAGGAATCTTGTTCGTCGAGCAGGATGCACTGTTTGATTTTATCCACCTTGTAAAAAGTTAGAGAGCCACCTTGCAAAGATGAACATTATCAGAGAAAAATACTGTCTGTTACCAAGAGCCTCTCTACAGAATAATTCACGAAGTAAGACTTCATCACTTTGTGAACAAAATATATACTGTGAAAGGTTTGAACCCAGGAGTCATATCATAAGTAGGTTGAGTATGATCATCCGGTTTAGAATTCAACTCCAAAAAAATTTGCCAAGATTTGACAAATTCAACGAAATGGAATACGCATAAAGTTTGAGGCAGCACGAATTCACTTTTTAAGTGAAGTTTTTGTAGCCATCGCCGGTTGCTGTTGCTTAAGCTCCCTATTATAGCCTAGAAGGGGTGCTTATTCAGGGGAAGGTGCTTATTAGAGCATGGGTACTTATTCTAGGAAATATTGTACCTGAAGCAGACACTGTTTCCGATCCTTCAAGCATTCTTTTGGTGTACCACTGCTAGCACTGATAGCAGGTTGAGATGTGGCTGGATGTGTTCCAGGTTTTGTTAGTCTTCTTTCATGTCTGTTGACCTTGTCCTCTGCTATCTGTTGAAGAATCTCCTGTCGAGCCTACAGGAAACAAGATGATATGGTCAAAGGTCCTTCCTCTGTGTCGGTAACTTGGAACAGTACACATAAACCTGACAAACCTGAGGCCAATGGTACATTTGTCTCTACATTAGTGCTCCATTTTATGGTAGTTAAAGCTACTTCAAGCTACACAGAAAGGAAGGAATTCCAAGCAAGGATTTGAGGTCACACCAGGGAATCGCATTTGAAACCTCCTGCATAGAAGGCTGTACACTAACCAGCCGCACTTTCCATTGCCCTAAGTCAGACCTTGTTTACAAAGACACTGGGGTGGAGGCTCTCAATACGGACATCCATGTATTAATATTGTAATGCAACGAAAATAGAGCACTTTTCATTCTCAAATGCTGACAAAAAAAATAGATCAAATGGCATATCTTCAAGAGAGCTTCTTTAATGCAAAAACATCAGTTTGCCATTGTTGCAAGGAACCCTTGATAGAATGAATGAATGAAAATGAACAATGTGGTATGTTCTTACTCTTTTTTCCATCAGTTTCCTTCTTTTTGCTTCCATTCTTGCATTTTCCCTTTCTTTTTCCATAAACTGTTGCTTGGCCTTCTGATGCTCTTCACTGACTGTGTAGCGACTTGACAAGTGAATTGGCAGTTGCACAGAACCACCAGCTGATGTGCTTGGTTCTTGACTTGGAATACAAGTAACTTGTGACTGTAATAAACATCAGTCAATACAGATGTAGGAAAAAATAGACTAATCAAAGTAGAGATAAAAAACAGCAAGCCAAAAAAACCTAACAAGCTCTCAGAAAGGAAATATAATGGTGACCACAAGTAGGTCGCAATTTTAATTGGACAAACCAGGAAATATCACATATCACATTGACCCTTCAGTGCCCCCAACATCAATCCCCCTCCTCGACCCATCCCTCAAAAACACAATGTAACTGAATCCCCATAATATAACATGGATGTGTCCTAGGACATTATACAAAGTCTTACAAGAAGTACAGACTATAAAAATTTGCCTTTTGAGCCACTGAAGAATTGCATTAACTGCCACAGAAGTCATATAATGATCGAAAAAATTAATGAATGTTGGGGCAAATTTTTTCCTTTTGTTTTTCGTTTTCTCACTTACTTCTTATCGTGTATTCTTTTTCTTTTCGCTCTCCGGTATTTTGTTAATTATGCTCCTTTGTTACGTGCTGTATGTAAATTTCGTTATAGTTTGTTATATCGCCCCTATTTATTACCAGTTTTTTACGTGTCTATTAGTGTAACATCATTCGTCGAAGTAGATTATCTCTTTCCTCGGTGGCCCTGACCACCGACTCTGTTATCCTCAGCATTTGGTAAGCAGCTTCGTTTTCATCGTTTTTTCATTAATTTCATTTTGCAGTCGCTTTAAAGTAGTTTTTCTGTATTGTAACTATTATTTTTCGCTCTTTGTAGGAATTTACTGTTTTTTGGGTTTGGTAATAGTAAAACATTTGCTGATTGTGAGTTCACGTGTTGTGTTTTGGAATTGGCCCTTGCCCGTTCAAAGATGACCCAACGAAGGATAGCTGTCAAAATAAAAGGAACAGAGGATTTTGTTGCCTGACAAAAAGCTGCAGGCATCTTTAAAGTTTTGGTAATTACGAAATTTTCCATTTTTTTGCAAAGACCAAACTCTATTTTCTGTCGCAGTGCGAACAGGTTCAGTTTTTTGTCGATCTTTACTATGTCGTAACAAACAACAGTGCTAGATTGTAGAGTGCCAGAGTGGTTAAAGTAGAAACTATAGTTTAGCAAAGATGAAGCAAGCAAGAAGAAGAAAAAGGCCATTGGCACGATGACGCCATTTTACTGGTACGACCAGAATCCTCAGGAGTTTCGCTTTCTTGTACAAATCAGGGCTTTTGATCTCGCTGGGATTACCAAATTTAAAAAAAAAAACATGAAAGGAAAATACGAAAAGGATTCTGGTCGTAGTAGTAAAGTAACGCTATCGTGCAAATGCGTAGCATTCGTTGATAAACTGGCTTTAAAAAAAATCTTTAGTCGTGTATAAAGGGTTTCTAGGTCTACTACATGTACTTTCAAGCACCACCACTCCTCTCCCGTGAAAATGCACATGACAGTATTGCGTGACGAACAGCGTCAACATTATTGTGTCGTTGTAGCACCGGTCAGATATATACTTTCGTGCAGTGTAAAGCATTGTTTAACAAAGGGCTAAGCCGTCGAAGAAGATGCAATCGTGATAAAATTCGCCTAAAACTGATCAAAGATTGGTATTCGACCTTTGAAGACGTCGAAAGTTGTCGCGGTGTGTCGGGTGTGAGGTGTAAATTGCACACGTTACAAACCAGAGGTCAAGCGACCAACGACCCGAAAATCGTGCTAAAATGATCTTTGGACCGGTCCTTCACTGCTCATAANGGGGGGGGGGGGGAGAGGTGTGGGTTTAATGAGGCAGTGGTCCATATTTGACCTGACATCTATCACCCGTTATTTATTAACCATGATTAAAAACCCCAACTAGTAGGAAGCAAATCAGACGGCCACTTACAAGCATGGCTAAAGAATTTAATTTGATGACTCAGAATCATATCCAAGTAGCAGTCAGAATGGGTTCTTGGGGAGTTATTTCCATGTATGGGCTATACAGTTATGTGCTGCTCAATACGGTATGTTTTTGTCTCTGGAACTGGGTATAAAAATTGCCCTTTTCAGAAAAAAAACCATTACATTCACAAGGATGCTGTCCTCCCACTCCTCATCATTTCATCTTCATCTTTCCCAGGTAGGGTATATTACAAAAAAAAAATTGATGACCAGTTCCCAGTTCACTTTCTACCTCAATTGGTTAGAGTGCTGCTTAATTTTTTCAGGCTTTCTTTTCGCAACTGCACAAGTTGCGTATGTAGGTATCTCTAAAGGACAATTTAGACAGTATGATTTTTGCTTATGACTATCATGCACAACTAGCATGCTTCATGATTTTTCGACCATCCATACTCGAACAGTTTTTCACTTATGACATCCACACATGTTGTATGGATGTCATGGGTCTCATTTACACGACACAATCTGATGTGAACTCATGACATATGCCAGTCGTACACGATAGTCATAAGCAAAAGTCGTACCATCTAATATAAACTAGCACTAATGATCTTCTCTGCATTTAGTACTTTACGATATTTTAGAGAGTCTGATAAGCAGCATATTTACCATTCCACTGCTGATTCCAGTGTGTTATTTCCAGCTTCTATTGCTGACTGACAGTCTTCCCATTCAAATCCCATGGATGCCAAACCAACTAACAATTCATCAATATTATTCTACAATTTCATGAATTCAAAGACAAAAAATGATAAATAAAGTTCAGTAATAAGTAAAAGTTTACACAGTCATCTTAGCTTCATCAGTCTTTTAACTGTTACGCCTATCATTTAAATTAAAAATTCTCCGTCCGTAGGAACACAATGGTAGGAGATCTTAGCAAGCTCTACTAAGATTTTCAAGGAATATCCCCTTTCATTTTTCTTTTCCCCTGTATAAGTCCTAATTTCTGCATTGTACCAAGGGCAAGATCAAGAAAGAAATTCAAAATAAAACAAAAAATTTTCTTTTAAACTAAAAAAAAACGTAGATACAAAGCTCTGCTAGCTAGGAAAATGCAAAGAAACTCGTAAACTCACCATTCCGTCCGCCATCTTTATTTTTTCGTTTTGTGAAACTGAAAATGTGTCAGCGGGTTTTACTGGTAGTACCTCGAGGAGAAATTCAAATAAAAGACCTTTCAATAACAGCGCTTAATATTTAAAAATGTGCTTGATAAATGTCATAAAGGCACAAACTCGTTGTCTAAAAGTCTTAAGATAGTGACGCTTTATTTTTATCTCCAGGTTTGGATCAGATTAGGTATCATTTTTAAGGGAAAATGTTCCATAAGCGTTTTGATGGAGATATAGATTCTCAACAACTGAGAAGCCTTGTGAACTCCTGCATTTTTCACGCATGGGTAAAAAGCACCGGTGAAAATATGGCTACCGGAGATGCGAAAGAAAGTAGAGACATTCCACCGGGTACTAAAGTGGTTTGTACAACTTGCTTAGATGAAAAGATTGAAGGAGAAGTTGTGGCATTTGACTACGGAGCCAAAGTTTTGATCATAAGTATCCTTTTACATTCCGATGAGTTGTGTTTGGCGGTTAAATATCGTATGTAGTTGGTCGATAGACACATGAATGTGTCTTTTGAAAAGTTTTTTCCTTGTTTGTCATAACAATTCAATTTTTCATGTTTAGTGATCAAGAGAGTTGTAGGAAAAGTTATCATCGATGTTACTACTTTTTTATCTTTCTGCAAATGTCAGAATTTACGTTTAATCATGTACAACTTCAACTTAACTTCGTGTTTGACTACAAGGAGAACTTTGTTTCCATCTTTGAAGATCAAGAGACGGATTTTTGAGAAATTTTATTCCATAACAAAAGATCCTATGAAATAAAAGGTTTTCATTTTTTGATCCTTCGATATGATCTGGTGTGTTCGGAAACGAAAAAAATATCAAACAAGCAAGCACGTAGCTAAAAGGTTGACCTTAAATTTGTTATTACTTTGAGTAGTTGAGCTTATACTTACAGCTTACCCTAGCCGAAAAGAAATCTAAAATTTCTTTACGTTACGTGAGATCATCCGGAAAGGAAGAATTCAAGAGAGAGCTTTAATATCAGAACAGCAGACTCATTAAATTAAGCAGCTGCTAATATGAGTTTCTCATTTTATATGCAGCTGAGAATAGTATTTGAGAGTCAAGGCCCTTGCTTTCAGGGTTAATTCCCTTAAAGTTGGTGTGGGAGAAAAAAAATGGGTAACAACACCTGTATCGAAACTGATTTTATAGGAGAGTAAAATTACTTTATACCATGCAATACTTTAAGTATTGCATAATAGGTTATGTTTTTGTTTATGTGCTTATGATGGTATAAAGTGGATGAATTTTGACAGTACAAAATTTGGCATGCAACATATCATCTTCCTTTTGCAACATGGGATCCTTCTGCAAAAAAAAATTTCCATGGTTGAATGAAAAAAAAGCTGGCACTGTTCAACTATGTAAATGCTACATGCCTTTTACATAGATTTAAGTTCAAGGTGCGGGCCAGGCAATATTTCCAATTAAACTGGCTTGAAAAGTGAAAATCTTGACATTTTGCTTTTGAATAAATAGCAAACAGAAAGAACTAAAACTATTTGGTCATCTTACCATGGAGGTAAATTTTATTAATTTTTATATTCATATATTTACTTTTATAAGTAATATCTATGGTGACATAAAAGATTCAAAAGTTGGCAGCATTCAAGATACTACAAGCTGTAACCATGGATTTTTGTTTAGATGGCCAGAATGTTACAGTTAACACACTGGTGTAAATTGGTTGATGTAAAATATTAAATTAAATCTAGTTAAAAAGCTAAAAATGTCACAAGACATTCAGACAACTTCTTGTAATCTTTCTATTGCATTAGTGTTAGGGCGTAAAAGCTGTATTAATTGGCTCTTTATAAGCTCTGGTGACTAGCCAAAATCACCACCCAGTCATTACAGAAGTGCTGGCTACTCACAGCAGAGCTGATGAAAAATAATTGCTTCGAACTAAAAATCTCACGCTATTGAAAACATAAATTTTTGGACTTGGAAAGTCACAGAGGGTAATTATTGTGACATATAGCTCCTTCATTGAACTTTGGAAATATCATCTGATTCGTTTGATGAATCCTTAATGTGTTGTAGAATCAACAAAAAATACCAAGAAAAATGTGATGGACATTAAGATGCTAAACATAGGCCTTATGAAAAGCCTTGAAGTTATTGAACTGTCCACCAAACCAGCACAGTCACTGCCTATCGTAGATGTGGACAAACTTGATAAGAAAATAAATACTGCTCTGGAGCAAAAACGACGGGCAGCAGACAAAATTGGAATCAATGTAACACCAGGAGCACAAAAGCTGTTTGATACCATCAATAAAACGTAAGTTTGATGTGTTTATTCTGAGAAATTTTTCACCTTGCAAGGCACAAATCCACACAGGCCTCCACCATTTTACAGAAATCTGTCAGATTTTTCATAATAGATATATTTTTAATGATTAGAAACACTTTCCTAGTTGAAATCTGGCCATTATCCCATGTGAATGACAAGGAAACCCAGGCAGGGGTTTTATAGGAGTTAAAAATCCAAAAACTTTCCCAGCAGAGCCCTGGACCCCCTAGAAGCTTGCACCTTTGGCACTTATTTTGGAGATCGGTCAGTATTTGTCCTAGATCTACACCTGCTTGCAAGGCACACAATAATTCTGACTTCAAGGAACATGTTAGAATAATATTATTGTAACATGTTCCTTGAAGTCAGATAATTTTACACACAAAAGACACAGTAAATCTTTCATCTATTTGCTTTGATTTTAACATAATTTTTTTAACACCATCAAGTTAACATTACAATACAGAGCTGCAAAATTAATAATGAAAGAGTCGCATTTTGGAGTACTGCTTGCCAGTGCATAATACAGCTCAGGACTAAATGGATTGAAAAAATGCACAGTGAACTTTCACATGAAATTTTTCCCTCTCAATACTGTGTAACTGAATAAGAATTTGAAAGTCCCTAACATCTCTGCTTTTTATTTGTTTGTTTTGTTTTACCAACAGTTTTAATGATGTTAAGTGGGACGGTCAAACCATTGTTGTCATGGGTGACGTAAAAATTGAACCACCGTACGAGGAGAGTACTTGCTATGGCAATGAAAAATCACGAGAACACATCATCAAGATTGTAAGTAATTCTTGTTTTTCAGGAAACTGAACTTTGCTTGATTTTCGGAAACAGTAAACTACTTTTGTAGTCAGGATTAAAGGGCATAGTCAACTCCATTTATTACAGTGCAAGAAGATCATCCCATTACAACGTTTTTTAACACAAAAGATTCTCAAGTTTTTGTAGCAAACAATGCGATAAAATTAAAGGTTTAACTATGCAATTTTAAAATCCTTTGAACTTATGAGGTACCTAACCTTTCAGGAAACAGCTCTCAATTTCTTAATGTTCTTGTTCTGTTCACAAAAATCTTTGAATCTTTTGTTTTCAAAAAAGGGTTGTGACTGAATAATCTTCTTGCAAGTGCCTGGTTTGAGTAGTTGCACTGTAAACATTAATTAAAGAACAAGAAACAAGTCCTATTGGTTATAATTTATTTTACACTTGTTACTCAGCATCACTTTGTAAAGCCTTACAGTTCATCATTAAAATCATGCAAGAATTTTAGTTACAGTACTTACAGGGGGTTGCACTAGGAGAGTCACTTTCTGTGGCACGCAAATCATGTAGCAGGCAGTACAATCTTTTTTTATTTTTGCCACAGGTTGGTAACTTACTTTTGATCCGTAATGTAGCTGCTGCCCCATAAAAGTGGGGTGTTCATATTAGTGAAGTGTCCACAAGGAGAAAGTTGGCCATATAAGTGAATCTTTGTTTACATTTTGTGCCTTATTAACATATGCGTTTCATTCCCGATCAAACCATTAAAATAAAATCATTGAATATTGAAAGACTATAACAATTCCAGTTATCCCTGAAAATTTGAGCCCAATATACCGATTCTTTTTCGGAGAAATTCTCTTCCAAAAACTCAAAAGTATACAAAGAATATGTGATCTCATTAGCATTTTTGCAACCCAGCAATTTCGCAGTTTTTGATTGCTGCTATTTCCTTTGTTATTGATTGCAAAGAGCTGAAAATTGCACAAACTTCGCAAAATAACCAGCTCTTTCAACTTTTGCACCTACATGTAATTTGTACATGTGAGAACGTCTTCCACGGGTTAACTGGTTAAAAAAGTAAACAAATAAATTACGTCAACAAAGGTTTGCCAATTAGGAAACAGTTTTGGACCTTAATGTATCAACCCTCTTTAAATTGACAAGCAAGTACTTCTTTCTCATGTGTATTCGTAGGTCAGGAAACATAACGAGGAAGAGAGAAATGGCCTTGGATAACATCAGAGCTCATTAAGATTGCTGAAAATGGAACTGTCTGTGACGTTATCAAGGATGAAGGTTGATCTTCAGATGGTATCGTCCCTGCAGTAACCTGCCTTTTCTGGCTGGACTGGATTTGGCAAGTTCATAGTGATGAAGGCACCGAGGGGAAGAATCAATCACACAAGTTCTTCCAAAGACGAACCCTTATTTTCATAGGAGTCACTGTTTTTATAGTGGTCTTTTGATTCTTGGATTTGTCATTGTGGATGAACATTTTTAAAGGAGTGTTGTAACTATCATGACGTAGTCTTTGTCTTTCTGAAACTCATTACTAATTTATTGAAGGGCTGTGTCATGGATGGTTAGTTCATTATATTTTTGTTTATAATTAACAATTATTGCACGAGTGGGCATTGGATTTCTTTTGATTCTTGGATTTGTCATTGTGGATGAACATTCTTAAAGGAGTGTTGTAACTATCTTGACGTAGTCTTTGTCTTTCTGAAACTCATTACTAATTTATTGAAGGGCTGTGTCATGGATGGTTAGTTCATTATATTTTTGTTTATAATTAACAATTATTGCACGAGTGGGCATTGGATATAAGATGATTATAGCCAAGGAGGTGCATAAGCACCGTTTTGGCTATAATCATCTCATATCCAACAAGTACAAGTGGAATAATTGTTTTCTTAAAAATGCCCACTAAATATTGAGAATTCTTCTTGACTTTATTTGTAAAACAACCAATTTTCAGCTTGTTTTTAATTTTGAGTAGATGCATACAGTTACCATAATTATTTGGAGAGTATGGTATAATGGCTCATACCATGATATGATGGCTAAGCCAATCAGAGCTCTGGAATTGCATTATTCAATGATTCTGACAGTTTTTAATAATGCCAATTACACCTTCTTATCCCCTATGGAACTTGAGGAATTACTTGTTAATGTGAAAAGCACTGCTTCCTAAAATTCCAAAAATAAGCCCCGGGGCTTATATTTTTCAAAGGCCCTTTTTGAGGGGCTTATATTCAGAGGGGCTTATCTACAGAGGGAAATTTACGTTTCAAAATCGATTGGGTTAGCCTTATAGTTGGAAGGAAATTTACCGTTTTCGCTTTGTTTTACTTTGTATTTGAGGGCAATTTCCAATAACAAGCCCCCGGGGGGGCTTATATTTAGAAGGGCAATTTAACGGAGGGCTTTTTACATTACGAGTTTGGGGGGCTTATACATGATGGGGCCTATTTTCGGAATTTTATGGTATGTTTCTCAAGCATTAAATCGAACGTTACAAACAACAAAAATGAAGTTTGAAAACTGTTAGGCTAACAAGTTTAAGAAAAATACAACTTCAATCCGTTTTAGTTTTCTTCAAGTTTGTCCATCCATGACTCCTTTTCTATTTGCTGTTTTATTTATACCTTCTTGCAATGTTTTCAGCAGTTTTTTTTTATGTTTCACTCAGTATTGTGGTCTTTCCCACTGTTTGAATTTTGGTAAATTTCATGACACAGCTCCTTTAAGAGGAAAAAACAGTAATCACTACTGTAAAGGATGTTTCAATGTCGGAACCTAACTGCCATGAAATTTCAAGACGAAATCCATTGGGAAATTGAGTAACTATAATTTTCAGTTGACAAAAACCTTGTACCAGAATAATTTCAAGCATATGGCATTCTTTTTCACACTTTTTAAGGGCTATAAATGTAATAAGTTGTATGAAATAACTCTGAAGAAAAGGTTCTTATTGGAGCCCCAAAAACAAACTTCAGAAGCCTCAAATTTCACAAAATAAAGTCTTGCACATGACAATTTCACCTGTGTTTTCTCAGTTCCTGTGAAATTTGAAATTTATTTTCTCGGGCGTCCTGTAAGAAATTGTCTTTCCTGTTATTACAGATAACTAATTACATCTATAGCCTTTGAGAGGTGTAAAAAAGAATACGATATGGCTTAAAATATTCTGGTACAAGGGTTTTGTCCACTGAGAACTAAAATTACTCAATTTCCTAATGGATTCCATCTTAAGGTCTTTAAGCATAAGCTTTGAATTTTGTTCTAGAGTTAGTAGGAAAATTAAGATACACTGTTACTGCTGTTGGGTGTAGGTAGGCGAACATGTTCCTGACGAAGTAATATCTAGGAAACCCATGATTTCCTGATTGGCATCATTATTCTCTGACCCCGGTTAACTTAGCCATTTCTCCTGGGTTAGAGGGGAGAAATGATGTATCTTAAGTTTTCTATTGACCATTGAAGACAGCGTTTTATCTGATATCCAGATATCTCAAACCGGGTTGAAGAAAACACAGGTGTTCCTTGTTTTTGAAGTCACTTGTGGATGTGCATCTAGATATCAGATGGAACACTGTGTTGAGCGTTTGATATAGTACATAAAGTGTTGAGCCTGGTTTTTACTAGCGACTCAGGCAGAAGTGCAATGACAAAAATACTTTCTTCTCAGGAAAACAGCTTAAACCCAAGCATAAGTACCAGAGGTTTTTTTTCCTTGTGCTTGTGTTTATGCTGTTGCGCTTCCACCATAGCTTCTTTTCAATAGATGTAAGAGTCTAATGCTTATACAGTATCACTAGTTAAAACTGTTACTGTTTCAGAGATTATAAAGTGGAAGTCAGTCTATTGTTGTTCAGTTTTTAGTGATCCTACTGTCCCCCCCCTGAAATCCCCTTCCGCCCAATTCTCACACCTACACAGACACTTCACATACTCACACAGACATACCCTGACATTGACACAGACACACCACTCACTGTCACAGACACACCACACCCTCAAGTCTTTGTTTTCATCAAGGAGGCTCCAGTACACCAGGCCCCAGTTGTTCAAGAGTTGTATAGTGCTAACCACTGCATGCCGCAACATGTAAATCACTATCCAGGCATTAACCCTTTAATTTACGTCCCAAGAGAAACCAACATCAATTTTCTCCTAACAATACTCAATGAAATGAAAAGGTTGGGAGAATTAATAAAATAGAGATCTAAGGAAAAATGCTTTGATCTTTTATCAAATTCTCCCAACTTATTTTTTAAGGAAGTGTATGGAGACCAGTCTGGAGTAGACTAAAAGCGGTCTGCTGCCCTCGTTCCTCCTGTGCACTCCCCTCACTAAATCTGAAGAAAATTAGTCTAAGACTGGAGAATTTGTATGTGGATATTGCGACTTGAAGGCTATTTAGCATTGGAATCGCTTATATAAAAGTGTCAGAAAAAGAGCCAGGCAAAAGTGCCCTGGGAACAAGGTTGTCAGGAAACGTCCTGCATTGAGGCAAATTGTCTGAGAGTGTCAAAGTCAGACTTGAGTCTGGCAGGGCTGTTCTTATTACATTTTCTTGTACTTCCTGGCCATCGATTGGATTACGAAAACCTCAACGATGGGAAGGAAGAAAAGGAATCTAGGGGATCCTCTTGACACAAATCGAAGACAATCACAAATACGTGCAGGACAAGATTACCAGGCACGGGGTTCATGAAAGGCCGATTAGCGCTAATCCAGGATAAAAATTTGTTCCACCTTTTGTATTTACCTTCCAATGCGTTGCTTTTATTAGAGTAACATGTTGTGGTATCATTTTTTTTTTCAAGGTAAAGGCACAACAGTATTTTGTAAGTTCGACTTACATGTTGTTATACAAGAAAACCTTGTTTAAAATTTGGCTTAATGTCCTTAATCCTGGATTAAACTTAACCATCTTTCGAGGAACCGGGCCCAGGCTGGAATTGCATCATTCCTTGGAACAGCGCTAAGGGTGCTTACAGAGAGAAGAACAAATTAACTAAATCTCAAATTATCGAAATTGTATGAAACGAAGCCAGCCACAACATTAAAAGAAAGAGACAATGCCTCTTATCACAAGCTTGATATTCCCGTAGATGGCCTGTAGGAACATTTTAAAAAACTTCATTCGATCCCAATTATATCAACATCTTCCACAAATCTTACCTCTGTAATTGACGACACGCCGCGTTTAGAAGAAGTGAAAAACATCCATGATTGCTTAGATTGCCCCATTTAAATTTCTAAAATCGAATCTATGTCAAAGCTACTTGGGTTTAACAAGACCCTTGGCCCAGAAAAAATTTGTAACGAACTGCTGAAAATCGGTACCGTAAATGATCGATTAAGCGCCGCGGCGATTATTACATTTTCACTGTTAAAGGAAAACTACGGGTAAAACACTGAGGGGAATATAGAGAGAATTAAGTGAGGCGCGTACTAGGTATGCACAATTTGAAGTTTCCCTGCATTAACACTTTAGAACTCACGAGTTGGTAGAGGTCTTATTTCTCGAGCGATATGGTTTTGATATCTCTATTTATCAAGCGCCGATCATCATGGTGCGTTTATTAGTAAACACCCAAATTATCACCGCGGCGCTTGTTAAATAATTTTCGGCGAGGGTGCGGCGCTTAATTGATCATTTAATTCTGAAACGTGACCACTTTCCCCTGCAATTGGTGTGAAGAATTATTACTCCGATTTATAAATCTTGAAACAAGAACAATCCATCAAATTATAGAGGAATCTGTCTCAGCAGTTGTCTGGGAAAACTTTTTAATTCGATCCTAAACAACAGACTTAAAATACATGTCCCCCAAACAAAACATTTTACATTCTACTGAAATAGGTTTCGTACCAAACCATCGCATCTCTGATATAATCACACTACGAAATTTCAATGTCAAGTATGTATTAAATACTCCTAAAGGGAAATTATTTAAGTGTTTTATTGACTTCAAAATTAAAAAAGGCCTTCGATTCACTATCGTCACGATGGTCATGGTCTTTTTTACAAACTCTTACAATATAACATAGGTGGAAGATTCTATGATCTAATTAAAACTCCTTTACTCGAAGTCGCAATGTTCTATTTAGATTGATAATCAGAGAAAGGAATTTTTGAACTACCTTGAAGGCGTACAACAAGGACGCAGCCTTTCACCCATGCTGTTCAACCTGTACTTAAATGAAATACCATTTTTGCTGGATAGGGATGAAACGGACCCATTTATTTTGCCTAATCGGAACCGCCTGACGTTCCTTTTTTTATGCTGATGAATTTGATCCTAATCTTAAAATCAGCAGACGAACTTCAAAAGGCTATTTCTATTCTCGAAAAATTCTGTAATGCTGGTTACTTTCCATAAACCCGAAGAAAACAAAAGTTATGGTTTTCTAACAAAAGTGTATAGAAAATCAACACAAAACAAATATTGGTTTCACATTAATGATAACTGTATCGAAATTGTTAACAATTATACTCACCTTGGACTTAGGGTGCGTTCGATTGGGAAATCCGGATTTAGATTTTGAAAGTCTAAATCCGGATTTCCCAATCGAACGCACCCTTAATGTCTCTTCTACAGGCACACTCAGAGATTACAAAACGGTTTTAAAGGAACACGTAGATCCATATTTGCAACTCGCCGATATCGCGTAAATTTTACAAAATTACCACTTGCTTTTTGATTCCCTAATTCATTCTATTTTACTTTATGGTTCAGAAGATATGGCAAAGATAAGTTCTCCACGAGGGAGAATTAAGATGAAATAGAAAAAACTCATACATATTTTTGTAAACAAACTCGCGATGTAATCAAGGTGTAAATAGGCAATGCCCAACTAGTCAGGGGCACCCATCGTCAATTTTCGGAAAATATCTGTTCGGAAGACGATTTGAGATCTAGAATTTTCGGAACATTTGTTTTAAAATTTCCTGCTTCCCTGCCTTTCCAACGATTTTCGAACACCTAAAAAATGATAAAATTCCTCATTTTTAACAGATTTTTACCCTAAAAAGGTCGCCAAGAATTTTTGGGAGCCTTTCCTCTGGCTGAAATTTTCGAAAAGGTAACTTTTGATCCCTGTAATTTTCGGATCACTAGACTTAATTTCAGCTAGGAAATCCGAACAGATAACAAATTTTTAGGGGATAAAAATATGCCTATATCTACCGTTTAAATACTAAAATACGTTTAACAACGCCATGTTTAGGTGGTTTTGAACTATATTCTCGATGGGTGCACCTGCTGAATGTCGCAGCTAGAAATGAATTTTAAGTAGATTGCGTTGCGGAATTCTTAGAACCCCGCTCGCCGGTTCAAACAAATCAAGAGCACTGTATCTTTCGATGTAACAGCACGATTTAATCCAATCCAACAATCTACTGCGATGTACAATTCTCACCGCACACACTGCGATGTACAATTCGCACCGCACACAGTCGTAACACAACGATCAACGATCAACGATCAACGATCAAGTAACACCGATTCTAAGTATACAGAGGTTTTTTCTACTATCCTTGCGTAAGGCACTATTTTTACATTAATCACAGGTACATGTACAGTAAAAGTTCCTATTGTAATCTATCTAAACTAAGTGTCTATTACAAAAACACACGTTCTTTCACCTTATTTAGCCTAAGAAAATGCATGCAGTTACATTTTGGGTTATTATGGTTTGTGGAATGTGCCAAGTGAGATCTTCGCGATATTTTTTTTCATATCTAAATTTGGAGGTTTACAATGGATCAAAGCAACAACTTTGGCACATTCTAGGCTTTCACTTTTATTAAACAATAACAACATGGCTTGAAGCTTCGTTGGTAAATATGACCAAGTTACCTTTTTTGTTTCATCAGTGTAAAATTCCATTGTATCAACAGCAACAACAACAACAATACCTTTATTCGCCTTGTACTTAATTACGTACATGAAAGAGAAAAAAAATATATATATATATATATATTTATTTGTACTTAATAAGGCCTGGAGCTGAAATAAGCTATAAACGTTAGAAAGAAAAATATAGTTCAAATGAGGCCTTCGACTGCTGAAATTAAAAATAATAATTAAATTATTATGGCTCTTGATTCCGAGCAACAGCGTAATTAGACATAAGAAAAATATTTCGCGTGGTAATATATACATAAGAAAAAAATTACTGTAAAATAAAATGTGTGAAAAGTCCGCAAGAATTGGGCGGAATATATTAGAGGTATAAAGATACAAACTTGAATAAAATACAAAGATCTAATGAGCGAGTGTCACAGGACAAAGGGTCCTGAAAAGGCATAACGATAGTCCTCAAAACAATTGGTCCGCAAATTCGTTGCATTCCTCACGGGAGTTTAGGGCTGTCTCACTGTAAATCGAGCAGTAAAAAAACATGCTGGTTGACAAAATCTCTCGAAAGACACAAATGAATTCTAAAAAAAAGTTTCGCAAATACGTTGCATTCCTCACGGGAGGTGAGGACTGGCTCAATGTAAATCGACCTGCGAAGAACACGCTGGTTCCGATATAAGTTTTGAGAATATAACCCTATGCCTTGATCAACTACCGCTTAAAATTCAATTCACAAACTGGTTCTGAGTCGAGAAGCGAACACGCTACCTCAGTATAGAAATCGAGCTGCAAAGAACACCCTAGTTCTGACAAAAATGTGAGCGTAGAACCCTATTCCTTGATCAGCTGCTACTTTAAACGCAATTTATAAAGCAAACGAGAGCACTAATTCCCCTTTCAAACTAGAAATCGTATTAAAGCTTGCTTACCAGTTAGGCCCTTTTGAACCGACAACGAACAGCTGCACACTGAATCACCCAATTTTTCGGACCACGAGTTGTAAATACAAGACCATGACGTCATTACCCAAATATGGGGTCTTACTTACACCCAAATATGGTCAAAAATGCAAATTTTAGAGGGTTACGCAGAATTTGAGAGTTTTTGCCTACATTGCACGGCGTTATAATTCTGCCGCCGAGGCAACCTCGCTTCTTAGCACGGTTGACTCGTTGGCAATTACCTTCATATTTCAATTCAAGCTCGTTCCCACGGTTCTCCCCTACCCGTTACCTGGGAACGAGGTTGATTTCAATTTTTAACCAACTGCAGGAGCTGCCAACTGCCGATGTTTTCCAATTTTTTAAATTTTTAAACATCCCCCTAATTTTTATGCATTAAAAAGAACCGAAAAATCGTCCAAAGACTTTCAAAAAATGATTGAAATAAAGACTCCAAACACGGATCCTTTAAGCAGTTTCTTTTTTGCGGATTTTTAGTATGTTATTAAGTAGTCATCCCACGATAAAATGGCGTTGAAAAAATTCTTTTGCCTCTAGTTTGATGTTAAACTACGATTTGACTGCACTAACAGCAGTGGCCGATCCAGACCTTCAGATAAGGGGGGAGGGGGGGTCGGTCATCAAGACCCCGAGATAAGGGGGGAGGGTGGTCTCCAAAAAAATTTTTTTTTGTCCCCTCGGGCCTCAGTTTGATCTAAAAATAAGGGGGGGAGCCCCGGACCCCTCCCCTGGATCCGCCACTGAATGTCGTAATAAATAGAGGATATTACACGGTGGCGCGAAGATATGAATTTTATTTTTGAGTGGCAAAACAATATTTTACGAACGAGCGCAGCGAGTGAGTAAAATATTGTTTTTGCCACGAGAAAATAAAATTTATATCTTCAAGCCGCCGTGTAATGTTCTTTTCATTATATAGACAAAAAGACATCGATAAAATAATAGAGACTGAGAAATCACCGAAATTACGTCATCCATAAACTCACGTGTGAGATTATGGAAAATAAACCACTCGGGTTCCGGATGTAGTTTTTATGAATTTTACGAGTGGTATATTTTCCAGTAAAACACTCGTGTCTATATAACAAAATAAAATATAATGATGATGCTAACAGTCGATTATATAATTGAAAAATGATAATACCTACTCTGATGTAGATTAACTTTAAACAAAATAAAATGATTCGTATAAAAGCGTAACTTAAAGGAATCTTCTAGCCTGAATTTGCCACTTTATAGCTTAGAACACACTTTCAACAGGGGCACCCAACGAGGATATAGTTCAAAACCACTTAGCAAAGCACTGTTGAACGTATTTTAGTATTTAAACGGTAGATATAGGCATATTTTTATCCCCTAAAAACTTTTCATCTGTTCGGATTTCCTAGCTGAAAGTCTAGTGATCCGAAAATTATAGGGATCAAAACTTACCTTTTCGAAAATTTCAGCCAGGAAAAGGCTCCCGAAAATTCTAGGTGGCCTTTTTTAGGGTAAAAATCGTTAAAAATGGGAAATTATATACCATTGTGTAGATGTTCGAAAATCCTAGGAGAAGCAGGCAAGCAAGAAATTTTACGATAAATGTTCCGAAAATTCTAGATCTCAAATCGTCTTCCGAACAGATATTTTCCGAAAATTGCCGTTGGGTGCCCCTGAATCAATACGTCGAAAGCTGAAATACCGTCGTTAGAAACAGACCGTAACCGCCATCGACCGACAACTGACCAAGTTGTTGAGTTATGACAATCGAAAGTATAATGATCCTTAATCCAGGTCACTATCGCTCTACAATGGCAAAAGAACCACTCCAGTAGTAATATTTCTCCTGTTCGTAGTTATAAGCGTTTGAAATAAGTATATTTTGCAGAGACTGGTCATATCTGTGGCAACCGCCAAACCTGTCTCGAGGAAAGTTAAACCCACAATATAAAGTTGAACCTGGTGGAGAAATGCAGTCTTCTTTAAGCACGCAAATAACAAGCCATTTCATGACACGTCTTTGAACTTCATCCTTGTTTACATAAACCACTGCACCACCTTGTAGCATGTCCTTAACTGCTCCTACCTTTTCCATCGGAAGGTACTCCAGCATTGTTGGATGCGTAGCGGTTATTATGGAGTGACCGGTTGTGCTGACATAAAACACTGCACCCGTATTGTGGCGGGACATAAGCTCGATTAAAACATTTGTTTGATTTCCTGTGAACTTGACAGATGAATCAAACCACATTGTCCCGTCAAATTCAGACAGCATTTTTTGCATAATCAGGGTTTTCCACGCATAATTATGCAGGTTACGAACGTGTTGGGGGTATGCATCAAAGTCGAATTTTCTGTACACTACATCAGGCAATGTTCTGACATCATTTATCTCCCAGTCATTTAATCCAAGATCGTAGAAAAACCATTTTATTCCTGGAAATTGCTTTGTAAAGTCTTTGATATGATGTTTAAATTCTCCGTAGTGGTTACTGGAACACCCCGTTACGGGAGCGACAAGGTCGAAAAATGGGGTCTTGGCATCTATGGACTCGACTGGCTTTCGTTTAAATGTTTGATCCCGAAGAACAGCTTTTACAAAAGCTAAATCTGAACTATTAAAGTTGAACTCTTTTCCGATTAGGGACAAGTTAAATCCAGCAACATACTGTCCCATTTGGAGCCGTTCATCACTTTCCCTGTCGTTCGAAGTCCTAGTAACACTATGGTTGTGAACGGAGCCAGTTTTGTCGGTAGTGTCTTGGGTCTTGAGTACCATGTAACCATAGAAAAAACCGCCCAGAATCAAGATGACAAGAAACCAAACATACTTCCTGTTAAAGTTCATTTCAGTTTGAGTACCTGTTATCTGCAAGACATGAATACACAGTCAGTAACGAGTCTGTAAACACAACATGAAATATCGCATGTACAGTCAACTCCCGATAACTCGAACCTTTAAGGCAAATCGCAAAAAGGTTCGAGTTATCGGGAGTTCGAGTTACCGGGAGTTCGAAGGAAATTG